CCCCCCGGCCCTCCCCGTACCCCCTAAAAATTTGTTAAAACAACCCGCTAAAAAAGTTCTCAATTTCCTCCTCTTCAGTTCTTTTTTTGCTGCGCGCCTCTGGGGGTTCCATACCCCGTCATTGAGGACGGCCCTCAGGATTATGCTGGGCCGTACCTGCGCGAGGGGGGAATCGCGCAGGGCCAGCAGTTCCGACCTGATACACCAAATAAATATTTCAGTATCGACTTCTAACAAATTAAGTATACTACTGTATATTACAAAAAGTCACTACTATCTTTTTCTCATTTTGCAATTTTTCTCTTTTTTCATAGCCAGGCCATTTATTTTATCTCATATCACAAATCATATTTCAGGTCCCCCTCCCCCACGCGTGGAACTTATGCATTAAAAAACTATTTTTTTTTTCAAATGGACTGCACCGCTCAACAGAAACAGATCATAAATATGCTTGCTAAAGAGCTAATTGTTCTGACCTTCTGAGATGGGGCTTATTTACTTATTTATTAAATGTTTATCCCATCTTTATGTTGGGACAATTCAATGTTGCTACCTCCTATGTTCCCAACAACAATCCTGTGAGATGTGTTGGGCTAAGAGTGAGTGTCTGGCCCAGAGTCACTTAGCTAGCTTTCATTCCTAAGAGAACTAAAATGGCATGCAAATTTCTAGCCCAACCCTTTAGCTGCTACCTGAGATATTCCTTTACATATTTGTGCCGCTTGATCTGATTACATCAAAGTAGAAAACTTGATGATCCTTGATGCCTCCAAGCAGATGTTCCACAAAGTTTATTTTAATCCTCTGTTGCAAATTACTTTGTCTCAATCTGTTCTAATTTGTTAATCATCTAAATAGCCTCAGTATCTTCTACCTGGAGACATGTTGCTTGTGATTAATACATATTGTTAAACTAGCTGTACCCGGCCACCCGTTGCTGTGGCTCAGTCTGGTTAAATGAAAAAGAAAGAAAAGAGAAAGCGCACGTTTGTGTTGCCTTTACGTCCAACAGATGACGCTGTTTTTCAAAAACATGTTTTTACCTGTCACAGGTGTGACATCTATATAATATAGGTATATAAAAACACGCGCGTATTCGAATGCAACGTGTCAAAATTTCAAAGCAATCGTTGAACTTTCGGAGATTTAGGATTTTGAACAAACGAACATTTACGTTTTTATTTATATGGATAGTTGGCATTTTAAGGGGTTAAGATGCAAGCGTGATAATTTAAGTAGGAATCTTTATGTTTTAGCTTTTTAGAAGACTTTGCTCTTTGTTCACTTAAATGATACATTTAAAAGCTACTATTCCATTAAATGTGGAGGCTATAACTGGTTGCTCTACATAGATTTTTCTGACCATCTGATTGGCCATAAAATTTGCAGGAATGTAGAACCTAACAATATGCAGAATAGTTTTAAATGATTTTTTTCCCCTCTCTCTCTGTTTCTTTTCCCGACACTTTTAACACAGCTGGTAAAAGGCCTTCAGCAAGAGATGAATCGTTTGTACACACTTTTCTGTTCCCGGAATCCAGAATTTACAAAAAAAGAAGGAAAGGTGTCTATTGTATCACATTCCTTAGGTTGTGTGATTACGTATGATATCATGACAGGATGGAATCCAGTCAGGCTCTATGAACAGTTACTTGAGAAGGAATATGATGTTCTGGAGCACTCTTGGATGACCTATGAGGAGCAGCGTTTGCTAGAAGAGTTTTACTTAACCAAGAAACAGTAAGAAAATATCCTTGAATTACTAAAGAGATCTGTGGCATGAAGAAAATGCATGAGTAGATTCAGCACCATTTTGAGAAAATAGGAGAGGTTTGATACATAGGCAGATCTTAGTTCAGCTGTGCCTTAGTAAAATAACTATTGAAGGCCATTTCTATCCATGTTTTTTTTTACTTTTAGGCTTCACTGGCAGAAGTAATGTAATGATGCATGCAGCACTTAGAGGGCTTCAGTCTACATAAAGGCCTTTTAGGAAGGTCAGGGACATTTCTTAATAATCATTCAGTTCTTCACTAGGGGATGGGCCAGATGGACCATGGGGAGAATAATGATTTTTTCTCTCCACTGTTCTAAATAAAATCTCTTCTCTTCTACTGCTGCCACATATATGAAAAATAACAGATTTAAATAAAATGGACAGGGTGTTCTAATTAAAAGCGTTCATGCCAGTGTTAATTTTCTCCTAGGTTGAGGGAGATAGAAGATAGATTGCATGGACTAAAGACATCAACTGTAGCCGAAACACCTGCCTTAAAATTCAAGGTATGAATAGATAAGGAATGTTTTTTTTCTTTCTGATAAGTGACTTTTAACAAGCTGATCAATTTTTTTTTACCAATTCTACTTTCAATTTAGATAGATCTACAAATACACTTTCCATACACAAAATTTCTTAATTCAAATATTACCAGGAAATGGATTATTTTCAAACAGAAAAGGCACTATTGTTCTTATTATATAACAGAGGCTAGGAGGAAATAACCAAGGAGTGAAGGGCGTGGCACCTGTTGACCTGAGTCAGGCTATCAAACATCACTTAGCTGGTCTTGGCTGTACATCATGAATTGTTTTCAGTATATGCACTCCCAGTGGAAGAGAAGCTGTACAAATTTGAATAGTATTTTTGCCTCAAGCCTTTTTGTCTCTGCAACATTAAAAGATACACCACCAAAAATAGTGTGAATTTACCTTTTTCTTCCCAATTTTGTTCTCCCTTGTCACCTCAATCCAACTAGCAGTTCATATGTTTTTTAAAAAATCATTTTTAAAAGCAGTTTATACAAAGGAATATGAGCATAATAGGAAGCTGGCATCTATTACCATCAACTAATCAGTATATCTGCAAGTTGTGATCAGATTGTTTTGAAGAAGTCACATCTCTGATATTGAACACAGCTTAATAACTGTAGTTTAATTTTATGAGAAATTACTGTACAATAATTATGTTTGGTATTGGACTTTTTAAAAGATCTTCAATCGTTAT